CAGATCTGAGTACCCAGGGAATAAAGGCGATGGTGAAGAACTCAGCACCTTCTCTTTGCAGGTGGTCAAAGCCCAGCCCTCCCAAGGCTCCCCACAGGCTGAGGCTGTTGGGTGAGGATAAACATTCCCAGCCAATGCACAATCTTCAGATCTTCTTGCCTCAGGCTGGAAATGGGACCTCGACCAATTATTAGTAACTTTCTACCTTCCAACTTCTGAGTTTGCCATGTTAGCAGAAGCTTTAAAGAAGTTAAACTGTCCAAGAAGAGATAATTCACAATTCTGTCAAGAACAGCTGATCATGTATTTTTAGGACACAATAACTGGGATGTTTGTCCTACACATCCAGAAAAGCACATTAATTCAACCACTTACAGTACAAAAAAACCCACCAAACCCTTTACTTGGTGGATCTGAACCATTTAGCACAATCCTCCACTATAATGAGTGGTACACTTTTTTTTTTAATCAACAATAATATTGTTCTCTCAGTATTTCACTGTTCTACCATCCTCCCCCTTGAAAGCACAACACATCCTCTCTAATGTCCACTTTACACTACTTAGAAAGTCAATGTCCATCTCTTTTATTGGGCACATGTGGCACCCTTATGGATTTCCAGTGTTATTTCTAGTCTGAATACATCTCTCCTAATACCAAGCACACACTCATGACAGCTCACAGTTTTAACTCTTATCTTTATTTCTCTAATCTCTAAGCCTACATCACACTCTTATTTTCCAACATACATTGTCATCTGATTGTTTCATTTAGGGCATTGAGGGTTTCTAGAACACGAAGGCCTTTATTCACAGATAAGTGCTTTAGAGCACACTGAATTAGCTTTACTACTGTGGGTATCTGATACCACAATTTCTAGCTTACCAAGAAAAAAAAAAAATCTAATTTTGAGGGACTTTTCCAAGCTCCAAAAACTGTGTTTAAGACCAGAATTTACTTACCCTCCCCTTCATCACAATTTATCCTAATAAACAGCCTTCATTTTATTTCAGCTCCTGGGCAGGCAGCAGTTACACTCTGCACATTCAGCACCACAATTTACTCATCTCGTGGGCCAAAAGTGGTTAAAAGCTCTTTGAGAGCAGCACAGGGAACAGCAGCACAGGAAACATGTCCTGTGTGTCCTGTGCCATGCTTGTGACTGGTCACCTGCACACCCACACAATGTCACTCTGGTGGCCTCTCAGACGTGCTACAAGAGAAACCTCCCGACTTCATCTAAGGGATGTGGTTGAATTGCACCGAAAGGTGAGGTTAGAGCAGCACAGTCACAAATCAACTAAAAACCTACTGGAATGCAACAGTGCATCTTCAGTCCTCTAGATACCTGATTTTCAATTTATTTCAATTATATTAATATTCTATTTACCAGGTAAGTTTCTGTATCTCTCATTACTTTGTTTACACACCTGCCACGACAGAGAAATTATTAACATTACATGTTCTGTCAAGGCTTCCCACTCCACATTCTTCACTTTGAAAAATAGCTGGTTTAGAAGTTCTTTAGTTAGAAACAACTAAATATTCACTATTAACATCTGAAACTCCTCAAGAGTTGTTTTCATGCAAAAAGAAAGATGCAATTAATATATGCACTTTACTGGGCTGTGTCCTTCTTCAAGTTTTAACTTTGAATTTTATTCATTGATTTTTGTTTCTAAAATAAAGGCAATATGGGTCATCTCACTAAGTTCTTTGCCTGGACCAAAAGATGATGTTCACCTTACCACTACAATTCCCAGGGGATACCATACCCCAGCAGAGCCCAGTACAAGGTTATCTCTGAGCACAGAATTAACTTATTTGTCTTTTACTCCAGAGAGAACACACCTTACCCTGTCCTGCCTCAGAAACACTACCTCAAGCCTCAGCACCTATTTGGAGTAAAATTAATATGCCACCCACAACAGAGCAGCTTGTTGGATCAGCTTTGAAGTCAAACAGAACAGTAACCTCCCATATATCATAAACCAACACGATGTCAGTCTTTAAAAGTCAATTCTAACATCAAAAACATTACTTTCTTTTGCTTAAATTAAAGTGCTTTTATCTCTAATTTAGTCCATTTTCAATCCAGAGAAAACTGAAATAGGGTACTCACACCACCTGAATTTTATTCAGTTTAGGAATATGAAGTTATTTTAACAGTAAAAAAAAGGCTTCTTGTAAAAGTGCACACCCCTAAAACTGTGAGCCTGCCTTGTTTTCCCGAGTAACACAAGCAATATCATCTTGAAAGAGGAGTATGACAAAGCATCTTAACAGAAGATAATCTTACAGCACTGAAGTCTTACGCTAATTTATCTTCGAGTTATAATACTTAGGTCGCATACAAAACTTCAAATTAATCTCAGCTGTACACTTAATTCCCCAAAATTACGGACAGCAGTTCCTCAAGACATATGCTGAGAGATACAAATCACCAAGAAGTTGAGCACAAACATTAAAAAGGAACTTTAGCACACGCTGAAGAGACACAGCACACAGGTTCAGCCACTGAACTGCAACAGAGGTAACACACAAACGACGCTGGGAATGGAAAGAGAAGCAGAAACCAGGGAGCCGACCACGGAGAGAAAACAATTTCAGGAGACAGAAAACCTTTGGTACTAAAAGCCAACTGGAAATGCTCCCCCTGCTCCAGCAGGAGGCGCGGCCGCCGCTTCCTCCGCCGCTTGTTTTGGAGGTGTCGCTCGTACTCCGGCAGCTGCTGCACAACTGCTGAGCCCGGCTCTGGCACACCGAGGGCAGCGCTCCAGTCCAGCCCAGCCCAGCCCCCAGCTCAGCGCTCAGCCCACCAGCTCAGCCGCAGCAGCCCGTGCCCCTACCAAGCATCGAGGCTGCAGCTCATGCTCAGCTCAGCTTCAGCTAGCCACCAGCTCAGCTACAGCTCAGGCTTCAGTGCTCAGCTCAGCACAAGCTTCAGACTCAGCGCCAGCAGCAGCCCGCGTCCCGGCTCAGCTCCCTCGACTCCGCGGGTTCCACCCGGCCAGCCATCGCTGCCGGCCCGGGACCCGCCGCGGCGGCGCCCGACGCCCCCGCGGCCCTCCGCTCGCCCCCCTGCCCGCAGCCCCCGCGCGGGCCCGGCCCTGCCCTGCCCTCTACCTCGGCTCTAAGCCGCGCTCATGGGCACTGCCGCTGCCCGGGCGCCCGGCCGGCTCCAGCCCGCGCCGGGCGGCGGCAGCCGGCGGGGGAGGGCGGCGGCGCCGCCGATCCGGGCCCCGCGGGGGACGGGCCTGGCCGAGCCGCCGCAGCGCCGCCGGGGGGCGGGACGGGGCGGATGCGGGCGGGCACGGGGACGGGGAGGGCTTGGGGATGGGGGACCCGCGGGCGGCGGCTTCGCCCCTCGGGCGATCGGCCCGGGGCGCAGGTGGCGTGACGGGCGCGGAACGGCTCTGCCGACGGCCGCCGGGGTCAGCGGCGCATCACGCTGCTCCCGCTCCCGCTGCCCCCGCCCCCGGTGCCGAGCCTGCCGGGCCGCCCCGATAAACCCGCCCGCTCCAGGACGAGGGTTTCGGGTTTGTGCTCCCAGCGCCATGCGGGGTTTCGCTGCTGAGGGAGCGGCCGCTGCAGGAAATGTGTGTGCGCGGCCAGGAAAGCTTCGCCAAAGTCGTCTGTCACCCAGCGAACCCAGGAAACGTGCCCTAGCAGAGGTCGTTTTATTTACCCTTCGTATTTACCAATTAGCAGCGCACAGGGAGAAAAAAATTAATTCTGTGTCAGAAGGTTGTTTTCCCAATAATGGTGTCTTGCAATAAATTACAGCCTCACCACTGCTTTTACCCTTCACTTAATTGCTGTTGCTTCTGAGGGCAGTTCATAATGACATTACAACATTACACTGGGTCAGACTCATGCCGGCCTTGGCTGCCCAGGCTCCTTTAGCTCACCCTTGGGTTAATTTGGCTGTGTCAATTCTCTTCTCCTTAATAATTTCAGTTCGAATTAAAACATAATCCTATGAGATCTTTCAGACTCTTTATTTCATACCAGTGTTCAAATTTGTGATACTTTATAAGGTGATGAGACAACAGTAATTTATTTATTAGCCAACATTTAGTGGGATATGTGAGCAGAATTCAAATTACTCCAAACTAGCTAATGCGAAGATCTAAATACACAATATTAATTTTCAAATAGTTTCCTGTCTGCAGCTATAGTTCAGCCAAGGTTTGGCATCCTTTTATATCAGGCATTATATACATGGTTCATGATAGGGTTTGCAGTCTAGTTCAAAAGGAGATGCAGGTAGCACTCAAACTGCTTTGCTCTTCACATTGCAGCAACAATCCAGTGCTTGTGGAAGTGAATTTTCACCAGCATCTTTGAGTTCTGATTTTAAAACCAGGATTCCTGCAGATAACTGGAAGACCAGAGTTACTGAGAGGGGTCAGCACCTGGCAAAACCTGCTTCAGTGAGGAATGGTCTGAGCTCACCAAATGGATGGTAGAGCCTTCAAGCTGTTCCATGTCTGAGCACTAAATTCAGCAGTCTGAAGGCTCCCTGAGCTGCAGGATCCCAACAAAAGACTGCATTGTGTGAGCATCACTGCATCACCTTAATTTAGTCTTATTTAATTAAAAAGGCAACATTCTATTTGAAATATATGTACAAGTGTATTCAATCACCTAGGACAGGTTTCTGTTCATGGCTGTCCTTGTATATAGGCAGACCTTTGAATCATTATACAGTACTGACGTTAATGTTTCCAAAGTCTGGAGATAAGATAATGGTAGTTTTCTTAACAACAGCTTTTCCCTGCAGGAACAGAGCCTATGGCTGAAACTGTGACTGGTGGGTTGGTTTTAGCCTTGTTAAACTATAAGCAACTCACTAGAGCTTCTGAAGCTTTTTCTGCCCTCTCTTTGTGCACGAGTTAGACAACATATGGCGTAAAAAGCCTGACCTCAAGAGAAATATTTTTGCACCTGAAATGAGGTGCTCAGCAGAGGCTTCTTCCATAGTGTGCTGAGAAGAACTGGACACAAGCTGTGTCTGACCAGGGTACCTACCTCTGGGCTCCATGGTCTCTTGGGAATCCTCTTCTAAATGTGGAAGAGGGGGAAAAGGAAAAATCTCTGGATTTTCTAATCGCTCAATGCTGTAGGAATGAATCCTTTTGTTGGATAATTATCTTCTTCCTATCCTACAAAAAGACAACGGAATAAAGTAATGCTTATTTATTTTAATATTTCAGTATCCTGTGTATAAATACACAGTCATTCTGAGAAACAGCAGCCTGCAGGCTCTAGGAACAGGTATGTACAGTCAGGAGCTGCTTTTGAAAAAAATTACTTTAATCTTTTAGAATATGTGAGGGAGACATTTAAATATCTTAAAAAGCACTGCTTGAGCAGGCTGTAAAATAATAAGTAATATTTCTCCCCAGAACTACTGTGAGGCTCAGTTCCCTTCTATGTAATGCCCCCATCAGAATTTCACAGCTCAGGGCAGTTTAAAGCTTCTACTTTTGTGAGAAAAGAACATTACATGAGCTTTGGGGTTCCACGTGGTTTTTACAAATCTCATTTGCAGTCAGATGCTGGGGAAGACCCGGGAGCTGCAGGACAGGCCTTGCAGTTTTATCCTGAGAAGCTTTAAAGGGAATGAGGCAGCAGCTGTGCCTGAGTGCGGGAATCTTGGCACACACAGGGCTCTGTGTGTGTGTGAGAACAGCTTTACTCTTGGTTTGTTTGGTTGCCAGTGGTAAAATATTAAATGCAACGGAAAGAGGCTTAGCATGGAAAAGACAAACAAGGCTCCAGCCCACTCAGTGTGTGCAGAGCCCAACAAGGGCTGGCAAGGCCGGGGCTTCCCAGGGAGCTTCAGCTGGCCCTGATGGTGGGTATGGAGGAGAGCTGGAGCTTCCTGAGTGCCACCCTCCTTCCACTCCACAACCACAGTGTCCTCAGCATCCCCCAATTCTCCCCCACCAACAGTTTCTGTGCTATCTTTGGACCTGAATTCTCTACATTGCAAATTGCCCATCCTGGCCCCCAGTCCATCACTTCTCCTCACACTGATCCCAGTTCCTGGCACAAAGGAGCACAGCCTGGTCATGCCCTCCTCAGGGAGCCTCCCCAGCCAGCTCCCCAAGCCTGGCTCTGACTCTGCTTCTAAAATGCCCCTGGGAACTGCAGAAACCCTGAGCTCTTGTTGCATCCTGTGCTAAAGCATATTATTCTGAGGTTTGGGGTGTTTTTTTATTACTGCTTCATTTTTAAAACTGAGCTGAGGATAGATCCTCTATTATTAAAGGCTCCTAAATTGCCAAGTATCAGTGGAGAAATAGCTTTATGCAGCTCCTCACATCAGAGAAGTCACATTTCCAGAGTCAGAGGAGGTTCCAACTTCCACCTGTCTCTCTGCAGCTGGGGGTGAGGTACAGGGAGCAGCAGCACAGCCTCTGGTGGCTGCCAGGAGGTGAAGTGGGTTCACAGAACAGGCTGAATCAAGGCCAGCAAGGTGTGCAGAGGTAGAACATGCTGTCAAGGTGACACCCAGAGGCAGAGATCTTCCCAGGGAAGGTACTGGGTCAAACACTTTGAGTGCTGTGAATTTGCACTGGTCTCTCTCAGACTTGCAAAACATTCGTGATGTTTCTCACAGCTCTCCCCAACACTGAATCCAGACAGGGAGAATGGCCAGTGCACACCTAGAGCAGTGATGCCACCCCTCACAGGAGAAGAGGGGAGTCCCTGTGCTGTGCAGAACAGCCACGTGCCTGCTGCCAAAGTCACAGCAAGGTTGGAAGAGCTGGTATCTGTATTTCAGTGTACCTGGCAAATGCACAAAACTCTAAAAGCCTGAAATTTGATCTGCACATGGTGGAGAAGTCAATAACCCTCCCTCCACAGAGACCTTGGTGAGTTAGAATATTCTGGCTGAGTGCTGGAGTCCTCAGGAGAGCAACTGTGACAAAATACAAAGCTGGGGGAAGGTTGGGGAAACTGGACTACATTTTGTCTGGGCAGGTCTTACACCACAAAGCCTTGACAATAACAGCAGATGCTACAGACCATTTTCTATTAATCAGGAAAAGCAAAGCACAAAATGAACAGTGGGGTGTCCTGACCTTTTAGCTGTCAAATCATTCACCTATTTTAAATCTACAAGTAAATTTAGTCCTGCCAGTGCAGAACAGCTGAAGATACATATTTAAATCAGGCACACACGCTGCCAGTTTTCCACATGCACAGGTCTGCCACAGGAGCATTAACAGAGCCAGCAGTGCCCTCCTGCTCCTGCCTGGCAGATGCTGAGGTTCTACACTGATGGGCTTAATTTAAATGGTTAGTAAAGGGAAAAAAGAGCACTGACTATAGACTAGAAATGAACAGCAGCTTCAGATCCACAACTCCAAACCAACTGTCCAATGTACAGCATGAGCTAGGTCCGTAATGATTTTCTGGGGGGAGAAGGAGAACATATGGTCAGGTCACCTATGATGATTTCATTGTCCTCTGTCTTCACAGGGAAAGTCAGAAAAATTAATCCAAATTAATCACATGCGTGACTTGAAAGTTACACTGGAGTCCTGCGTGAGTGCTGCTGCTCAGCGTTAAAGTGGCCTTCATTTGATTTAACTTTCCTCCTTTTCAAAGTGAAGTACACTAAATCAGATTAATGCCACTTAATTCTGAATATGAATACCTGCATAGGGTTTAATAGAATTCAACTAATCTACTTTAAAATATAATTCAGCTAAGGTTTCCTGAGTATCCCCTTCGAGGAAAGACTCACATCAATAGACTTAATGGGAATTGTTCCTGGATTGTGTTGGCATGAGGTCAAAACTGACTCAAAACATCACTATCATAAAAATAGTCACATCTTGCTCTGATGTCTTTGTTCTGAGAGCATTAATATCCAACCCAGAGCTGAATGTATATCTGGTGAAATGGAATCAGAAACTGTAGCATGAAGTGAATTCTTTGTTACAAAAGAGGGATAAAACACTGGCTTTGGTTTCTCCAAATGAGATGGAGAACTGGCATAGATGGTCAGGATCATTTCTATGTTCTGAAGGTGTAAACAACAGCATTGTTTTCATAAAGCTGATATCACTTAGGTTGTCATGCAGTTCTAGACAGTGTAATTTCGAACCTGAATGTTGCTTCGAGCCTTTATTTACGTGAACTTCACCGAGGTATGAGGAACTGCAATCTCTGTGACATAGTTAGTAACCTTTAACTGAGCAGCAGCATCGTTGTGGCCCATATCTGCACATCACAGAACAGACTCAACTGTCTATGCCAGTCAGTCCAGCTTTTTGGAATAAAGGGGCAAGGTCGTCTTCTAACTGAGCTTTGCTGAGGAGACTGGGCTTAAACAACAAGAACATGAAGGTGCAGTCACACCACAGAACAAACAAGAGCCCAGCTCTGAAAGCAAACACAGGACTGGTGTTTTGCCATGTTAAAGAACTGCCTCTGACACAGCTTTCAGTACCTGTCCAGCCCCACAGAATCACCACAGCCAAGATCCCACCTTCCCTTCTCTCTCCACAACCAAACACCAGTGGCAGCTCTGTCCTGGCCCGTTCCTTTAACAGATCTGACCCAGCCTCCAAAGCCAAATGTTCTCAGTGCTTCCACAGCTGGATTCTCATTCTGGGCTTCACATCCTCCTCTCCAACAACACTAACTGTACAACACTTTGGGAGGAAAGCCTCTGCACAGAGACATATTAAATAACATCTCACTATGCTAATCATTCAGGTGGCTAAATAAGGAACCTGTGCTCCTATGTGCCAATGCTCCTAACCTGAGGCTACCTAATTTAGGCAATGGGAAGGGAGAGGCACCTCCAAAGGGCAGTTCCAAACAGGACTCTCAGTGGCAGTACTGGAGAGCAGAGCAGCCTCAGCTCAGACATGCCAGGTGGGTGCCCACTGAGAGGCACTGAGAATACTCCTCTCACCATTCCTGTGCAATTTTAGTGACCTGATGCATAATCCAGTCTCCAAACCTGACCAGTTGCCCTGTCCAGCTTCCACAGCCATCTGCTATTGCTGCCTACTGCAAACAGCATCACACCGAGCAGGACAACATCTGGCTCCACGTGATCTTGGGTTTTTTCAGTGCCATTAAATCTTTCAATCAAGTAAGCTATCAAACCAGAATGCCCGAGTCGAAATTTCAAGTGCTGATAGATAATGTGGTATGTTTTTCACATAAATCCAGGGAAATATACTCAGGAATCTGATAGGTACATGGATAGTCTGCCCTGGAATAAAAAGTGAACTAAACACAGTCTTAAACTTCTAGAACATCAAATCCAGATTCCAGGCAATATTAAAACCTTCCAGATTTGAGGGAGACTCACCAGTGCTGCCTTCCACTGCATTTAGACAGAGAATCAATCTTGACATTCAAAGCCTTCCAAGACTTGCATATTTTAAAAATAGCAAAATTTATTTCTTTTGAAGTATGGGCTTGTTACAGCTATTTAGGAATCTCTTACTCAAGTCAGATGGATCTTGAGCCTCCCCTGGGGATTGTTTAGATGTCAGTGTGCATCCATTAACAGGTTGGAAACTGTCCAGGACAATATTGCAAGAAAACACGCCATGTCCAGGCTTCCTTTCTGTTTCTTCCCCTCTTAAATAGAACTCTGAGTAGGTCCTTACAAATTAATCCAAGGTTAAATATGATGAGTAGGGCAAGGAATGCAAAGAAACTCAAATGAGTATTAGCAATGCATCCTGCTCATTGGTCAGCAGGGTATTTCTCTGCAGTGGGAAGGGGAGCATGGAGTAAAAACTTCACTTGGGCAGTGAGAGTCTCATCTTGCCCCAATTCCTTCACATATTCCTGTTGTCACTGACAATAAATGTACAAAGGTCTTACTTTTTCACCAGCACAATGCCACATGGTGAGTGTCCAACCCTAATTCCATCCAGACACAGAGTTCAGGCAAAAGCTTATGACCCCAACAGGTTTAAGGTTGCCTTTCATTGGCTATTCCTTTGTGAAAGGAACAACCAAGCTGTTGTACACAGGCAGGCAGCTGAAAGGAACAGCCACCCGAGAAACAAGGCAAAAGGGCAAACCTGGAGGAGAAGCTGATGCATTCAAGGTTTCTGCCAGCTGAGAAAGGTTGGTTTTGAAGATGCAGGAGGAGGGCAGTGCTTGGAGTGATGGTGAGTCCCAGGGTCTGGCAGGATCAGCCTTCCTCAAAACCAGGCAGAGCCATATAAACCCTGCAAGAATGACCTTGAGCAAAAAAAGGCTGCTGAAGTGCTTCTGGACAAGTGCTGGCTGAAAGGACTGAAACTGCATGCAGAGAAAGAAAATATCATCTGATTCCTCCTCTGTTCAAGGAAATGGAATTTTGTACTTTCTTTGTAAATGAAAGGGTTGCGTCAAAGTACCTAAGTGATCAATTTTCCCTGCTATTGGAAACAATCTGCTGGGCCTAAAACCATCTAAGTGCTTTGGTCAAAGATGGGGAATAAAAGCTCCATTCATTTCCTCATGGAAAGGCAACACCTTCATCCCTTTGACTGCAAGTGCACAGAGCCTGAAAAGCCAAGGATGCATGAAAGGTGATTGCTGTGCTGAGAACATGAGGGCTGCTGGCACTTCTCTGCCCTCAACCTTGGCTTTCACTGACAGAAGTACAAAGTAGGTGTAAAGCAGCTACCAAGTGATTTTGCACCGGTGGAAACGGCTCCAGAAACCAGAGCAATCAGGACAATCAGTCGGTGGGAGCACACAGCCCTCTCTGTGTTTGTAGGCAGTGAAGGAAACACAGATGTGACCTTTGTCAGGCAGTCACTGCACTCATTAATGCGTCAGAGATAATAACTGTTACACACGAAAATCTGACCTACATATGCTACACAAGAGGAAAAGGCAACAATTTACTTAAGACTCCATTATACTGTTAATGATTATAAGCTGAAAAATTAGAGCATAATGCAGGAAACTTGTAATTAAAAAGCATCAATTATCATTGTCTCCTTGTAGGGGACATTAGTCAGGTTTGCTTTCCACAGTCCCACTGGGAATACAGATAGACACGTAGGACTGGGTGATTCATCCTGCAACGGTCAGAGAGGAACCAACTCAGTGGGAGAAGGTTAGCTTCAGGAAAAATAATATGATTTAAAAAAGAAAGGGAAAGAAAATAACGACAGTTAAAGACAGCCCTCTCAGGGTTCCTCATTCGACAAAGCACAGGTGTGTGTCAGGCCAGCCCCAGGCTCCCTCCAGCGATGACTAACCAGGACTCACCCACCGTACACAATGTTCTGAGGCTGCAGGGCTGAGCCAGCTCATACCTTCAGTCATGCTGAACATACCATCCCCCTGCAGAGATCAGCCAGTGCCCGAGCGCCCCGGCAGGATCTCTCTTCAGAAGGCTGCATAATTCCCCTCTCTGCTCCCTGAGGGTCCCTGACTCCCAGCCAGGGTGGACACATTGCCTGGAGGTTGTTTGAGGCTCAGCACCCTCAGGTGGAACCAGTTTTTCCACAGTGCCAACACATGCTGTAGGTACAGTCAGAGCTGTTCTTCCAGCCCTGAGGAATACCCTGAGCCAGGTTCACTGAGGTGGTTCTCTGCTGTTCTCCTTGTCTCTATGCCAACATTTCCAGGAGTCCAGGGCAGTGCAAAATACTAAATCCTTATCTGGAGGCCACAGAATCAGAGTTCTGGGAGTGTCAATGAAGGATTTCACCTGACTATGGGAAGCACTGGCCAAAGCAACTGAAGCAATCCAGGCTGTCAGGTCCTGATTCCCTGCCTGGGTGACACAGGCACAGGCAGTGGCTGGAAAATGGGATCTGGCATTTTGCAAGCAAGGACTGCACTCAGACACTCTTGGCTTTACCTGATTCCAGCTCTGCCGTGGATCACTCTGCAGAATCACAGCTCATCTCCAGCTTCTGCCTCATAACAGATATTGCAGCTCTCAGCATTCCTAAATATGAAAGTCTTGCTCTTTAAATCTCCCGTTCTTTAATGTGCATGAAGTTGAAACAAAAATGTAAAAACCAACTCAAACAGTAATAAAATCAAAACTAAGCTTTGCATTATGGGAGACTGTGGGATTTTCATCATTACCATTTATTCAAAAGCAATCTATATTTCCTATTGACAATCTCATGTTAATTTAATAACCTGGGTGGCCGCAATTTTTGTTAATTGACTTACACTCTGACCACAACTTAATAGACCTAACAATTTTTTCTTCCATTGCACTCTCACAGACTGTTATCAAGCAGAGACACCAAATTCACCCCTTCCAGTAATACCAGGACTCAGCCCATTTAAGACAAACCCCTCATCTTTGTCCCACTGATGTCAACTTCTCTATCTCTCTGCTCCTGAGGAAAGACCAGCAGCTCTCATTTTCACTGCCTTGGAAGCATTTATCCCCACACGAGGCAGAGAGTTCCCTAAGGAAAAGGTGGGGCTGGAAGGTGGTGATTTCACTTGGGAGATGACACAGTTCCACAGTTTACTGCTGGTTGGAGCTTGAGCCACTCCAGAAGATCCCACTTGGAAAGAGCCTGGGAGGGCAGTGGGAGCCCTGGGGAGCTCAGGGTTTGGCACAGATTAGTTCCATGAGGACAGAGCCAGTCAGGGCTGTCAGCTCATCACCTCTGAGCAACACAACATTCACAGGCCAGACTCTTCTGCCCTTGTAGCACTGTCTCATTGATTTGCAAAGTGAAACTGTGCCAGTCACAGTGGAGACTTGGCTCTGCCTGGAGTTAAACAGTGGATAAACAAGAAGCCAGTGCAGAGGATTCAAAGCCTAGCTCTCCCTGTGCAGTGTTGACAGTGCTTTGTGGAAACAGGTGATTTCAGCAGTCACAGCTCCTCTGCAAGCACTGAAGGGGGCTTGGGTTCTGTCAGCTAAATCCCAGTGTAATGGGATGTTTCCTTTTGAAGCACACATTCCCAGTGCCAGTATCTCAGTCTGTGTATCACAGGCCCCTCAGTGCCTCCTGACTCCATGTCCCCACACAGGACTGACACACCAACAGCACCAAAAATGAACCCTTTGTCTTCTTGGATCAACCCTTTGTCTTCTTGTTACCTGCAACAGGGCTTTTTGTTAACAGATGTATTTTCTGCTTCTCCTAGTGGTCACAGGGCTACTACAAATACAGGAATGTTTGTGACATACCACCTCCACAGCACTGATTCTGTCCCAGCACATTCCCCAGAGCATCACCAACACCGTGAAGTGTGGATCTGTTAAGGTGACCAGACTGATGGGCTGTTTCTACCCAAACCTTCCACAGTCTGGAGGATTTCTCACCCCCAGCTCTGCTCACTCCTCTCTGTCTTTCATTTCATCTTATTTTCATTTTTTTCCTTCACTGTAATAAGCTTTCATTTTAGGATCTCCTTTTATCTCCCGAGTAAAACACTAAAACAAAAAGACAACTACAGAAAAATCAGGGCAGTAACCAGAGGAATATGAACTGTCACACTGGTCACTTCTGGTTTTTGTTCAGTGAAAAAACTGTCATATTTTCATTGCTCAAAAGGAGACCCTGATTTCATCTACCACCCTCATGCTTTCAGAATTACACAGAAATATATTACTACTCTATTCATTTCAGAGACAGATTCCATCTTTACAGTAAGTAACAGTTTAGTTGTGGGATTTCTCTCAAACAATACCTGTTGGATCTGAATTCCTCTTGGCCTTGGGAGTGTGGTCAGAACTGTGTGAGGTCCATTTCTAACACGCCGTTAGAAGTTCACACAGTCCAGCGCTCCTGCAGATCCAGATTGATGGGGCAGAGCCCGAGTGCCTTTGCAGTGGCTGCCTTGGCTTCTGCTGCTTTGTGCTAAATCTTTCATTTCAGCTTCATGCTGTTATTCTGTTTCTCTGTCATCAGGCTTTGCAGGTGACTCCATCCCCGAGGAAACTGTGATTTCTTTTGCTATTAAATTTAAAATTTAACTACAGTGATTATTGCCTGTAATGGTGAGAATTTTTTCAGCCTTCCCACTCAGCATGTCTGTAGCTGGTGAGAAAATAAATTACCTGTATAAATACAAATGCTCACATTTAGCTGAAGCTTCCCATGCAAGCTACATTAAGCAAGTCTCTCTAATGGGAAGACTTGTGATTTAGAGTGGAGCATTTCAAAGCATGAAGGCAATAAAGCCCCGTTCTTTGTGATTCTTTAGACATGACAACTTGCTTATTACCTTCCAAATAACAGCAAAAGTGATGCTTATTTTGCTTTCACCAGCCTACTTAGAAAGGCCTTGACATTCTAAATAACAGAATGTGCTAGCACTTTAAATCTGTACTGATACTTTATTACTTTCAGTTTGATTTCTAGTTTAACTGAGGGGGCTGTTGTTTTACATGTGATAGCTTTGTTTTTCTCAAACTTTGTTTCTTTTCCCTGTTCCTGTCCTCTCCTTTCCTTGTTCCTTGTCCTCTTCTCTTCCCTGCCCCCAGAAGCTGTGGGCTCATGATGCAAGACAAGCTTAGGGATGAACTGCAGCATAAAGAACCTGAACAGAACCAATCTCATAAAGCAGCAGGTGGAACAAGCACATAACACCCCAGAAAAGTAAATAAACCGTGAGGTTTATCACCCACCGATGAACAGGATATTTACTCTGCTCAAAGTAGTGCCTCAGCATTTACAAACAATTCACTAACCTACAAAGAGGGGAAGGAGCCATGGCTGGGAGGTTTACACTGCATTTAGGAAACTCTTCACAGAAGCACAGAATGTGCTGAGCTGGAAGGGACCCACAAGAATCATCAAGCCTAACTCTTAACCCTGCACAGGACCATCCCCAAGAGTCACACCCTGTGCCTGAGAGTATAACCCAAACCCTCATGGAGCTCTGGCAGCCTCGGTACTGTGCCCACTGCCCTGGGGAGCCTGGTCACTGCCCAACCACCTCTGGGGGAAGAACCTTTGCCTGAGATCCAACCTGACCCTGCCCTGACACAGGGGTCCTGTCCCTGTCCCCACAGAGCAGAGCTCAGGGCCTGCCCCTCCTCTTCCCTCACGAGGAAGCTGGAACTGCAATGAGGTCTCCCCTCAGTCTCCTCCAGACTGAACTCACCAAGTGCCCTCAGCCGCCCCTCGAGGCCCTCCACCATCTTCGCTGCCCTCCTTTGGACGCTCTCTAATGGCTTAATACCTTCTTTAAGAGCGGCTCAGTCTATTTATTAATTAAAAGCGCGGGAAGCCATCGCAGCACCGGGGCCTTCCCCTCACACACCCCCCAGGCCCGGGGACCCGCCGTTCCCCCGGCGGCCACCAGGGGTCAGCGCGGGAGCGGCGGCGCTGAGGGCGCTGCCCCGGGCCCGGCACGTCCCGGGAGGGACCGGCACAAACACCCCCCAAGGAGCACAGAGGCACCCTCCGCACGGGAAAACACGCGGCTGGAAATGAAAAAATAAAAAAAAATTAAAAATTTAAAAAACCCCCCAAACAACCAAAAAAAACCCCAAACAAACAGTGGCGAGGAGGAAGAGTCCGTTTGAAGCATTTCTGTGTCTCACCGCTAAAGCCTCAGCTCTGTCATAGTGGAAATATTCCAAAGTTACCCAAGTGAGGCCGTGTGGTGGGTAAGGCTTTCCCTGAATATGCTGGGTGGAAGCAGGATGTGGTGCTGCTGGTGGAATTGCTCGGACAAGGCATGGCACAAAGCTCCTGGCGATGTCCATCCCAAAGGACAAGGCATGGCATGGCACAAAGGGCCTGGGCATGGGCCATCCCTTTGCCCTGCTAAGAAAGTAAATATTTACCCACACACCTCATTTTATATTTGCTGAGCTCAACTCGGTGACAACGTTGAAATCTGAATTTTGTTTGGTTGTTTTCAATCCCGTACTGTTTGAGGTCTAATCTGAGCTTCAGTCTGTTTCAGTAGCAGAGTCAAGACTTACTTCCCAAATGTTTCCTATGGGATAATAAGGCTTTTTTTGGCACGTGCTCATATCAGGACTTTGGGTCTCCTTGCGTAGCTGTTTACTTCATGGGCCCATTTACCTTGTCTTCACTGGAGACATCTGCTGATCTAATGTCCCATATTTTGAATTACTTTTGTTATCTGCAAGACAAAACAGAAGGGCTTAAGCAGCACACAGCACTCTGAGAAATGGATAGCTCACATATGTTTCAGTAGGGCAAACAACTTGTATTAGACTAAATCTAAAATAATTTAGGATTATTCCAGACGAGACAAGCTGAAAGGGAGCAATGAATTGTCCCACTGCAGCTCCATCATGCCCAAGTGACATTCTGAAACTTCCCAGAAACCAGAGCATTCCCAAGCTGTGCCAGGGGCTGGGAAGGATTTGTGGAGGAGCTTTTACATTTGTACTTTAGTAAAATACTTATGTGAACTCCCACACTGAATTCTTAAAACAATTTAGTGTATTTACCTGCTGCTGAACTCCAGTTCTGAGTGCCTAGAATCACTTGGTGCAGAGATGACAATTCCATATGCAAATCCATACGATGGATCTGTGTGGCTCATCACTAATAAAAAACCTCACAGGCATTCCTTTGCAAGTGGTCACTAACATGAATGTGCAAGATCCAGTGCAAGGTTCAATTCAGAGTTTTCTTTATTAAAATACCTTTTCACATTCCTTATACTAAGGCATTTGCATGGACACTCGTGGGATGCTGAAGGAACATTTGTCAACAGAAAGAGCTGTGAAGTCAGTCAGTTGTGACAGGCTTGTGATACAAACAACATTTGCACAGGGAACAATAAATTAGAGATATTAGCCAGTAACTGGAGCTTGAAAATTTAAACACTTGGAATGAGGATATAAAACCCTTTTGTGTTTTGTGGTTGTTTTGCACCCTTGATGCAATGCTTAAAGCAGTAACTATGTATGTATACACAATCCATGGCCTCTCTTTCACTATTTTCTAATTAAAATGAGAACCTTCTTACCTGTGGCCCAGATCTTGTGGTAATTTAATCTGCAGTAAGAAAAGGAGAGCAATTGCAGTGCCAAAGGTCAGCTGGTTATGGGGCTAGGGACAGCATTTTTTCTGGTTTGTTTTATGTTCTTTTTTTAAACTAATGCAGCTGAGATAAACATGGGCTGCAGAGATTAGATCCAGGTCCAGACTGGATCCATGTTAGTGGTTTATCATGCTATACAGAAAAAGGTTAGGTATGGAGTTCCATACTGGAGAAACTGGGCACAAGTATGACTTCAGATCGCTCCTAAAATCAAAGGAATAAGGATTATACATAACAGGATTTTCAGGTATAAACTCACTGACCTGGGTGCAGTATATCCACTCCCTGAAGACCTATCATAGAATCATCCAAAACAACTGTGATGGACAATCATTTCTTGAAGAACCATCACACCAAACTAACCAACAAGCACCAGACCTTCTACAGGGGAAAAGCAGTTTAGCAAAGAATAAAGACTATTTGTGCCCCTCCTGATAGAAGCACTTGGTAAAGTCTGAATCTCCCAACAGTTATTCAAGTTTTTCGAGCACCCAGAGCTCTCTCTTCTGTCAGGCCCTCCCTGCAGTGAAGCATCCCCAGGGCTATAAGTGAGCTGGCTCCAAGCCTGGTAGCAGTCCAGCTGCTGCAGCACAGGGAGTTCAGCACAAGCTGCAGGATCAGAAAGTACATCCATGGCTGGCCAAGCTGTGCTGAGCTCTGCTCTGCCACAGAAGTGTCACTGATAACCAAGGTAGCAAGTTCAAAGCAAGCTTAGATATTTCTACGTCCTACTGGCATCCCAGTAGTCACTGCACTGTAGAAATGTGCTTCCTCAGCTGTAACTTCCCCTTTTGTTTCCTCAGAGAATGATGAATTGGAGGCAAAAAAAAGGCAAAATTGCATTAGCAGGAGAAAATAAAAATGAGAACCTGGGTCAGTGGTTTCTAGAGCCACTTTCCTATGAGAATTTTTATTCGCAATTTTTTCCATTAAATGCTTTAGGAACATCTCTATTGTTCCCCCTAAGGAAATAAACTTTGAAAAGAAGAGTCTGGCAAACTCATAAATAACTGCTGCAGAGCCTTTGAAACATTTGCAACATCTTCCATCTTGGCTTGTTTTCTTCTCCCAGCTGATCTTTGAGATGACTGTTCTAAGTAGCATCAGGATGCCCTGATATTCTCTGTTGGCAACAAGAGTAAAAAAGAAGAAAACAAGGTGTGAGTATAAATGTGTCCCTACCCTCTTGCCCCATAACATATTCCTTAGAATGCTGCACAATGAGCTAATAGATGTTCACAGTTCCCTGGGGAGATATTAGTATTATCTTCATCAGATATAAAAGGAAATAAGACAGTGGGAGATTTAGGTCAACAATTACAGGCTAGACTGTAATGCTGTTAATCACCAACATCTGCAAGCGGGTATTTACTTTTAAAAGTTGGATTTTTAAGGGAATTGCTGGCACTCAAGACATCTGGAAGTCAGATCCCATATTTACTAGGAGATGTTCAGCTGCCACAATCAGATCCTCAGCTTCAGTTTGTGAGAAGGAAAACCTTTTCCTAAGGCTGGTGTCTCCCAGGGAGCAACACAGTGTTCAGCTTTGGGACACCATGTTCCTCCAAGAGCCTGGCTGCTGGGAAGAGGATATCTCCAGCACACAGCAGGGACAGAAACCTGGCACTGGGAACCACAACAGGCAGCGTGCAGATGGAGCAGTCCAGCCAATGGGAATGGGCAGAGAGAGATCCCCAACTTCATTGTTTTCACATTATATGACAGAAATAATTCTGTCCACTGGGGATTCACAACTGTCAAGTCTTTCCTGACACTGGTTGCCAAAGCAAGTCTTCCTCCAAGAAATTTCTAAGAGTACATGGTGGCCTCTAACCTAATAGTTTAGTCTGTCAGCACCGAGGCGCCTCATTCCTTTTGTGGACTTACCCCCAAAGGATTTGCCCCATGACTCAGAGGCAGGAATTCCTGGTTTATAATTCAGTGTTTATTTCAGAGTATCACCTTGTTTTTCATATCCTGACTGCCTGAAATCTCCCCCCCCCCAATTCTAAATGGACACATCCTTCATCTTCCTTTCCTGTCTGAAACTACTGTGCCATGTCACTGTGCACAGTTAAACACATGCCAGCTCCTCCTTCAGAACTGACTGTGTTGTGCTGGAAACGTGAGTTCCTTTACCACTGAGAAAATACTTTTGGGATCACTCAAGCAAGATGAGAAAGTAGCTGAATAACACCTAGAAATTGCACCAAATGGATGTAAATTGTACAGGTTTCTGTCTCAGAGGGCACACGCTGAGGCTGAGCAAACAGGCAGCTAAAAGTACATGATGTCCTGGCCAAGGCTGCCAGTCCTCCTGCACCTCCAGGACAGAATCACACAAACACACACACACAGCTAAGAGGGAGCAGGAGAGGAGGAGGTATGAAGTCAGAACGTTCTGCTGAGGTAAATTTGACACAATACCAATTAGGATTTGGCGAAGTGGCTATCTCATTGTCAAGATATTTCCTTCAATATGTTTTCAGAAACTGGGACCATTAAATAACTTAGAAAGATTGCCAGCTCTGATTTCAGGAAGGAAACCTCCTCCCAGTTCCTCTCTAAGTAATTCATTTCTTTTGCAAATACTTCCTATGGATGGCATTTAAGATACAAATTTCTGAAACGGAGGAGATGGAGGGAAGCAACCCCCAACATAAAACTTTAGGTTCCTTTCTAAATGACCTAAAAGTCCCAGACATTCAGGTTCAAGGTACTCTGGATTGCAAGTCAGTCACAACTTGTATTGCAGCTGGGCCTTTACACAATTCAAGTAATTCAAACTAGTTGCTTTTCTAGAACCTTTCTTGACATAACACAAACATTTTGAATGCATAACACAACACTTGCTGTCAGTACACAGTGTTTACTAAAGGCCTGAGCTCAATTTTGTGATTGTCTCTCAGTGAAGATGAAGCAAATTTCCTAGATTTCCCTGCTGGATTATATTTATTTTGGCAGAAACTGTGTAGGGGCAAACGCACAAAAGCAGGGCTGGCAATCATTAAAATGATTTGTTACATCTTCCTTCTCCACAGAGAAGAGTGTTTTGCCCGTGACTTCTGGAAGAGCAATGCAGAACTGAGCGTTAACAGACTTTATCTGAGCAGTGGAATCCACATTATTTGATTTTAGGAGTAAAAAGGACATCAGGATCCGATGTTGAGCCTCCACCATCATTACTGAAACAAAAAGGCTGCATGTCCTCCCATCTCTGAAAACAGCTCTTACAAAAACACTCCTCTCTGCTGGGGTGTCCTTTGCCCCACACTTCTGGAACATCTATTATATCCTACCTAGAGTCAAATTCCACAAGGTTTTTTGACAGGCCACTATACTAAGGAATCCATCTGGCATTCCATGTGATTAAGATGCCAGCTGACCACCTGAAGGCCTCCTTTCACTCACAAAGTAAGGGAGCAGCACATCAAAAGCAACTTCAACTCTGAGCCAAATACTTAATTTGACTATCAAGAAGCAGAACAGCTGGGGAGGAAGTCTAAGCCACTTGATCACTTTATAAGAAGTATTTTCCTTTTCATGAGTAGGATCAACAACCCCTCATTTGGACCAAACCTCTGAGAGACATCACAGTCAAGTACTGTGTGAAAATGAGCTACAGAAAAAAAATAGCTTCTAGAAAATAATGATACAAAGCACATTAGTAGTTCCCTGCCTCTTCTGTGCTGCCTGAAAAGTGGTGAGAGGCAGATAGAGGGGATGGAAAATCTATAACAAAATTCATCTCTCCATCCAACATGGTGCTGCTTTTTGGCACAGGCTATATTGTGAATAGAACAGGGCTCTGGTTTTTTGCTGTGTACTTTAAAGCACTAATACATGTTAAAAAAAAGGAACAGTTACTATGTTAGTACATGAACAGTATAGCAAAGGGGGGGACAATGTCTCAGATGTGAACTGAGTAAAGCTACTTCCAGGAAACCTCAAGTAGAGATGTGAAGTGTTAAAAAACTGACTTTTCTTTGGGGTGTTTCTGAAAATGGGATTAGTTTCACAAAACAGTTTTATTACTTTTCTACTGTTACCAGGAGAATAATAAAAGAAACACAAAGAAAACACTGCCCTCAGCTGACACTTCTTCCTTGAATCTACCATTACCTCATAGATTGTCTGGTTTAGCAAGCTTTAATAGCCCAATAATTATGAAAGTTATTTACAGGGTAGCCAGTGCATTTTCACTGACTGTTCCATTATAGTTCCATAGAGAGAGATTTTACTCACTTAAGACCACAGGAAAAAAGAACAAAAAAAAAACTTCATAAAACTTCTATCTTTTATCCCGTGTCCATTATAAATTAGGTAGGCTGTGGAAAAAAGAAAACAAAATCTCCTCCCTGAGCTTACACTGATGTCTGTCACAGCCTTTCTTGACCATTTTTTACTTTGTGTTGGACAGGGACAAACTTTCTTCTGCAAGGAATTCCTGGTACAGCCCAGAGGAGGGTTCAGCTCAACGTATTTTTAGAAAATCGAGAGCAAAGAATAAAAACAAACCCTTAAACTAAAAAAGACAATGATACTATAAACCCTCCTGGCCTGTTTTAACATGAGTCTGTTTATTGTAAGGCAATCTGTGACCTTCAGTGCACTGCCAGTGTCTGTAAATAATACAATGTGTGTCCCGTGGGATGGGAGTGCTGATGGAGCCTTTCAAAACTCACAGGGATGCCATAAGTTGACGTAGGCTGTGCTATTGTGACTCTTATTTATGGGTCTCTCCTTTTTTCTTTTGAACTACAAGTTCCAAAGTCACAAAGTGGATGGTAGAAAAAAAAAAACCTGTTCTGCATAGTCTGAGGTTGCATTTGAGAGCTTCTCTAACATTCATAAAAGTACTCCTGAAAAGTAAGTTCCCTGCCTCTGGGATCTCTTGAAAGCAGAGTAACAGCTCATTCAAGATATTCCTTGGATTTTTAAAGAAAATCCATATTTTTTCACTGGCTCCTTAGCACTATGAAGCTTTTCACCACCTACAGAACCTTCACAAAACTCCAAAGCTTTTTAGCCGAGATGGTCCATATATGGATGGTACTATTTTCAGTTCTTGGTTAGAGCAGCACAACTGACCCAGCCATGACCCAGCAATGTGCTCTGCAATAAAAAACTGTTTGCCTTCAAAATTTCTTACACAGTCTCAGTTTAGCAGCAGCCCTTGGAGTCCACCCCACCTGCTGTACCAGTGGATGGAAACACATCCAGGAGGAAACAGTCATAAATAGTGAATAGAAGTGACTTCTGCAGGTTGGGGTGATTCCTCCTTAGTTTTACTCCTCACACCTTAGGAAGGACCTGCCTTTTTTGGATATCCTAGTCACAGGATGTGTGTGTGAACAGGCACATCCCAGGAGAACAGCCGGCACTGAACACCCAGGAACTGGAACAACAGCTCTGTCCCCAGTGTCACATTAACCAGTTCAGCAGGTTTTCATATGCAAATCTCGAGTTCCTCAGGTCCATCAGGAACCTGAAGGAAGCAGCAGCCATGCCAACCTTGTGCCATCCTGCCAGCAGGAATATCTGTGGCACATATCCAGAGCTGTGCAGGTGTTCAACCCCAATTCCCGGGAGATCGTTATTTGCCATCTCCCTCCTGCACCAGCACCACCAAACACCAGTCCCTCCCAGGGGTTTTAGAGCTGATCATTCTATAAATGTGGGACTGAAAGGCTAATTAAGTAAGAATATACACGAAGAGATTGCCCCTTAGCTGTCCTGTAAAGGTCCTGGGCAACAAATAAGCAATGAAACCACAGCAACACTTGAACACTGTCTCACTAGATACACAGTAATCTGTCACCACATTTAATTGCATAAACCATATACTTACAGAATGCCTGTTTTCCATAGAATCTGCAAAATAAAACACAACACACAAATTACAAAATGGCACGTTGCAGAGTTCTGTGTTCCAGAAAATGCAGGTTTATGTTCTTCAACCTTTTTGTTCACCTTGAAACGATGTAAAATTGCTACCTACAACTAAGCCCAGCTCTGGACCTAAGGATTATCCAAACTCTAGTTTAACCCAAGTACAGGGGTGAGACCAGACATGTCAAAGACCACACTGACCTGTTTGACAGCTTTTTGATTATGGGTTAGAGCAGAAGTCTCTCCCGAGGGTACGAGCTGTTACTGGACAAGAGAGTCTTCCTTTAAGAGGCAAGTTCTCAGGAGCATTATACTTCCTAATCCAATTCCTTGCCAGGAAAATAACGTACTGCAGAAATCCGGTGTAGAATACAATTTTCAGGGCCAAATAAGATCTTGCAAAGGTACCTGAAATTTTATTAATACAAAGTTGCTTGTTCCCAATAAAGCCTGAGAGCCAGCAGGCTCTTTCCATTTAGGGTCAGTGACCTTAAGATTAGATTTTAGGGGTTTTTTTTAAAGAAGTGTATTTAGCTATTCAGAAGTTTCACAGAATACATTCAGTAAATATATATTTGCCCTCTGAAAGGAACTCCAGTTTTAGGAGAGGAGTTCAAGTCTTGCTGAAAGTGCTTTTCTGTTAAGATACTTCACACATGACAAAAGTAAGTGCTGAATCTTGAAGGGTATTTTCTTGGAAAATATATAAAATTCAGTGGAGCAAGGTTGTGTGGAGGAAATTCATCTAATGCTCAAAGCAGAGGGTTTGGACTGGGGCTCTGGGTTAATCTTGCCAGTATTTTTTTCTGTAAATATGGGATAGTGTCTGAATCTATGTTTTTTTCTAAGTATTTAGTTTTTAAATAGCAAATACTAACATCAGCCCTCCCATGGGCAGCACACTTCTGTGAATTTTGAAAAGTTCTCTGAAATCATTAAATTAATATTATGCAGAGTATTACTACCATAACCAGACCTTTATAAAGGTGTTTTAGAGATTCCCTTTTCAGCAGAAGTAACCAGGAAACAGAGGTGAAGGTCTCTGGCACTGTACATTATGAATTTTCTCCAGGACAGTTCTACACAGAACTATTAGTCCAGGCAAAGGATTAAAAACTGAAGTGACAACAGCACCATGTACCAGTGAACAACCCAAATTTCAGTACAAAATTGATCTCAATGTTTGGCAAGATTGATCCATATATGTTTAGCCATTTTGATAAGAAACAAAATAAAAAATTACGTGGAACACACATAAAAGCTTTTTGTGTCCTGAAAGCCGACAGAAGTGAACAAAACCACCCTTGACCCAGTGCTACATCAAAGCCTGGCTTTAAGTAGACAAAACTATACATCAGGTTTATGAAGTGAGGTATTAACAAGCTGTCATTTAGTTCTGTCACAGTGTATTGTGCTCACAGGAAGGAGGAAATGAGAAATTCTGTGTAAATTCCCAACTTCAAACGACGGGATGTTGGCTGCTCAAAGCTTCTGGGTCACAATGACAGATATTCCAACTCCTTGTTACCTGTCACCCAGATCCAAACTAGGGTGGCTTCCTCCCTGAGTGTCACATCTGTGCCAGAAGAATGTCAGGATCTGTGTCCTGGGGGATTTCTAACAGGCACCAACCAGGTAAACCAGCAGGGAGCCACTAATAAAAGCACAGTGATACAGTGCTTTTCTGATTCTTTGCTGTGCCAATCTTTTCACAGCCTTTCTGTTTCTTTTCTTTTAATGAGGTTTTTTCACTTTTTTACTGATTTTACTGTGATGAAATAGAGAGATTTTTCATTATACTTGGCTTTCCCTTACTACCAAAAAGAGGGAAAGGAGATATGCTGGGTTCTAGTCATATACAAAGAAGGGCAAACAAGCAGCTGCATATTTTGTGAAAAGACTCGGAGATGAAGGTCTGATACTGATGATTTCTAAAATATTCCCAAGTCTAACAAAGGTGGGTGTTTTTGTGGATTTCTGACAGATTTAAACCCTTGCTGTTGCTTTTAGTTGATGGGATTTTAAATTCAAAGGCCACATTTTTACAAAGGAGCACATTAATAGCAGGAATTTAAGACACTGTCATCTCCACTTGCTCCATCATTTCTTGTTGCTACAGGTGATGGAGAAGAGAATATGAGCCTAAATAGCTGCAATTCTTAATCCATCTCCAACCCATATCCAACTCTGGTGAAAGCCAAGCTGTCAGATCATGAGCTGAAGGTGCTGAACTGCAGGAACACACACACTGCTCTCTGCCAAGCCCTTCACTGGAGCAGTAGCTTCTAACAGAGGATCTTGGCAGGCAGCTTGGGAGCAGCTCTGACACAGGGCATGCACAAAATTCAGCTTTGCATTGGAGGTTCAAGCAAGGCCAGAAGCTCCCTGCATATCTGTGCCTTACTGAAACCATCTGCTTCTGCCTAATTTTTGGCTGGAGCTGTTGTGAGCATTTGACTCTGGACTCAGTGTCTCACAGATACAGGCTTTGGTCTAGAATGTGTCTAGAAACCTAAAGATCCAAAGAGTTTTTATTTTGGAGAAGGGACAAGTCATTTCCATAATTTTGGACTGCCTGTGCTCATAAAGCCTGAGTTCTGAATAACACAGTGAATCCCAAGACACTGTGAGTTTTCTCTACACTGGAAAAGGCACCCAGTGGGAAATTCTGGCTAAGCATGGAGGTTTTAAGCCTGAGCTTCAGGAGCAGGAAAGTATTTGAGCAGATTTCCTGATTGCTAGAGCTGATTTCAAATAGTTTGTTCCAAACCACTGAGTGCAATGGGGATTTCTCATGCCTCTTTCCACTGGGATATATTTATTTTTCCATAGTACATTGTTGGTTGCTGTAGGATTCTTTGAATTTCCTGTCTCACTGCTGCAACTGCTTCCAAGTGACCAGTTCACTTTTCCACACTTAGCAGCATAAAGGCTGGCTCTGCATTTTGTTCACTAGATTCCCACTTTCCTAATAAGAAATCAGGAATTGTTATCTTGCAATAAGCACTATAAGCTCGATTCAGTGCACACACAGAGCAGTGCAGAGCTTCTGTGAGCTTTGGGTCTGACACAGAGCAAAGCAGAGTTCACTGAAGGAACAAGAACGTCCCAGTATGTCACAGGAAGTGCCCTGGAAAAATGTAAGGAAATCTGTGACCTGGAGTTGGCTCTTGTCTCCCCAGCAATAGGAACAGAACTGTGCTACCCCAAGAACTGGGATCAGTGTTGAGGGAAGGGCTGGAGCTGAGATAAAGAACCAGTATGGAGATGCTTGGACTTCCTGCCCCTACTGCCCCTCGGGAAGATGAAAGGTGTGATGGAAATAAATCACGTCTAAAAGAGCCTCCACCCACGAGCTGCACTCGGTGTGTGACACATCCTGACCCTCCCTCAGGAAGAGCTGCCAGCCTGCACCTCTGGGACTCCAGCACAGGCACATGGGCAGCAGGGCCACAGCCATTCTGTCATTCTTGGCAGGCTGTTGATTTAGGCAATTGCCTGTTTTGCTTAAGTTTTGGACTGTCTCAGTTCTTTCTGAGCAAAAAGCAACAACTCCGGGACTGGGTTGGATATTCCTGGCTCACAGTAAACTTTGGCCTTTTCATAGAGCAACCAGAGAAAGCAGTATTTGAAGGAAATTAGTTTATCCTGGTAAGTCTAAAGGACTTTTAGACAAAGGTGTTACTGACCTGACTGGCACTCGTTATGACCACTCCCCAAATTCCCATGGGGATGTAAGGTTTGATTTAAAGCTGAGGCTTGAAGCTGCTCTAGGTATTTTACATAAAATACTAAAGTAACAACCTATTGCTCTAAAAAAGGCTTTAAATCAATACCTGGGTGAACTTCCTGAACACTATGTCACTGAATTAAACTAACCTTTTGATAACAGTGCAAGGACAATTTCTTATCTCTGAGACAAAGTGATCAGCACCCTCCTTCAATTCTCATTACAGCAGAGGAAACCCAGCATCCAACTAGAGACTGACATTATCTGCAGGACCATTATTTGATTTTCAATCAAAATACACCTGACTAGACTTGAATTTCACACATTTCCTGCTTTCCCTACTGCAAATGAGTTAACTGCAGTTAACCATGTGCAGGTCTTGTGGGATTTGAAATGTGCATTTGACAGTTTGTTTCTGTCTAATCTCTAATGTAAAACCACCTCCTTAGGCCTGGCACTCAGAACAAGGAAAGCACAGCAGAGAGGATGAGGGGTCTACCATAGTGTGGTGGAGGCACTCAAATGAGAGTAACAGAAGACAACACAGACAGCAGCAGGAGAATAAAAAGAGAAGGAATAATGACAGATACTCAGCATTATCTGCACCATGGATTCATGAATTGGGATAAGGACAAGCAGTAGCTATGGAACTCAAAATACAAGAGTTTGTTACTGATGTGGCATCTGCCTTACTGGGGACAGCAGGGAGAGCTGCCAGAAAAAATGAAGAGGGGAAATGTTTTAGCTCAGTCACAAAGAATTGCATCAGACATAACAACTACTGACAGTGCTTCAGCTCTCTCTCTAGTGGCCACAATTTCTGGAATGCACACACAACCCCTTAAGATTGCCTATGAAGCACTAAATTCTAATTAAAAAACCCCAAACCACAATAGTTACCTACAAACAAATAACAATAAAATGTTACATAGGCCTTAGGTGTTAAATCTGCCAAACAGTGTGGCTGACACCAATTCCCAAACTCCTGTAATTTCCCCAGAGGACACGTTTGTCTGATCCATTGACTTCCTGAAATAGATTGTACTTGTGGGTATTTGCTCAAAAATCTCAAAGAACAGTCAAACAGGGTGAAGATCAGAATGGTAAACCAACTTCTGCCCCCAGCAGTAATGTTCAACATCTTTCACAACTGGCATTTAACATAATCATGTTAATATAAATTAAAGTACTTCTGAAGAACAGAGTTATTTCCTAGGGATTCTCCACTGCATTCATCCTTTGCCACCTCACAATCACACAGCCTATCACCAGTCCAAGTTAATGTTACATTAACTGTAAGGTGGCTGTCCAGAGCACTGCACTGCTCTGGGATGCACTGCTTATCTCACTGGAACACTTTTCCTGTGGATCAGTCAGGAAAAACAGACGGGATTAAAACAATAAACTGGTCCTATGTTTCCAAGAATAACTGAAACTGTAGAATGTTATGCATAAAAGAGCAGGTGGACTGCAAGATTAAGGGGTGCTTGCAGATGATTTGGCTAATTCAGCTCAGCCTTTCAATTATATCTCACTTTATTGCAGTTCCCACTTTATGGCATTACAGCCTTTTAAGTGCTTTGAATTACAGCTCTGCTGTACCTACCTGGAGTTTAACAGCACAGCTCACAAAACACCCTTCTAGGACATAACACCTTCTGTTGTGTCAAAACCAGGG